ATTATTGTCTAATTTGTATGATTTTTTAAAGCTAAATTTATGTTTTCATCCGTAATGTTTAAAAATAATTTAGAATTATTTTATGATAAACTTCAAAGAATTTTGACCTATAACTCACTGTTGGTTAGTATTAAAATTAAGTGATATATATGATAATTGAGTGATTTGATAGACCTTTAACAAATAAATTAAGGACTTAATTGGAATTTTTTAAACAATAGTGATTAGATTTTAAAAAGGTGTATAAATAATAGAGATTAAAAGATATATGAAGAAGGAATTCCTCACAAATATGAAGATTCAAAGGAAGGGTAGAAGCATGATGAGCAAACCAATCAACATACAAAAGTTGCCTTCTCGATAAATATGTCATATATCAACACTCTAATGTTAAGAGATTAGTCGTAAAATATTTGACATCAATGGATGGAGAAGAAGAAGAGAACAGTGGAATAATTAGTCATTTGCCCAATAGCATCACAATGGCAAATTATTGACTTATTTAAGTCAATATTGATTAACCAATTTTAATTACTCGTTAAAACTAAATTTTGTTGCCCATGAACTACCATCAGTAATCATTATATTATTTTTTGGTTGATTATCTCAAAAAACAAAAGAAAAAAAATACTGATATTTTCGCTGTAAACTAGATACAATACAATCATACAATTTTAAAAAATCTCCATAGACGAACTAATAATTTAACGTATAAAATATATCAGATATTTTAAGAAATGACGTAAGTCACGTGGATTATTCGCGGTTGAAAATAAACTGAGTTAATATATTATAAAATAAAACCGACCAATTTTATTTATTTAAATGGAGGCGATTGATGACCTTGTATGTCAGGAATCATTGGCAACTTTACATTTAAAAGTTGTGATCAGACCTTTTTCCTTTCAAACAAGTTCCCTTTTGTCTTTCTTCTTTTATATTTTCTAGATTTAAATATTATTTTCATCTACACACTTTTAATTTTAATTCATTATAATTTATATTATATTTTGATAATTTTAATTTTTTTTACAAAATTTTAACACCATATAAATCATGAGTACAAATTATAGTAATATTTTAAGAATTTTAGTTAAAATTTTAATCAAAATAAACGAAAAAACATTAAATATTAAAATTAAAATAAATATTTTGAAATTATAGATTAAAATAACAAAAAAGTATTTAATTTTTTTTTTAGTTATTTTGTTTCCCTGCCACGTTGACTTGGGCTACAAGACAACGTTGGGCCCAGCCAACCGACTATGTCAGTGCCATTAACCATACGTAAAATCCATTTATCAAACAAAAGGCAAGAAAAAAAAAACTATAAAGAAATTTTAATCACAGTGAAAGAAAACCAATATATTTTCATTGCCAGAGTATCAATCACAAACATTGTTGGCTTTTCTTTTTCTGTTTCCTTTTGATATGATATTTTACGCATCAATTTACACTAATAAAATTATCCTAAACAAATATGCTATAGCATGGTAATATTAATATTAATACAATATGACATTAAAATATCGATTAACCTAAAACAAGCCTACTCATTCAATAAATTGAATATTCACCTACGTATAATATTTAATAATTTGACATACATTAATTAACTATTTATTTTAGTCCATTACTTATTTACTTTATTATCTAAGATACCTAAGTAAAATATCTCGTTTCTCAATCTATTCTAAATTATTTATTTATCATAATTCTAATGACTTTTTTTATGGATAAAGTAATTTTACTGGAATAAATTTATAGACGATGATGATGTTAACGGTTTTTAAATAATACACAATTTTAAAATGTTATAACTATTATGAACCAATATATATACAAATTAGTATAAAACTAAGAAAAACAGTTTGAAACACGAGTTGGTTTAATTGGATAATAAATACAACAATATGGAAAAATAAGGATTATTTCTTCAACATATTTTCCAACTATCTTTGAATCTCTATGATGTTCAGAACAATTTAATGTGTTTTGATATATTACATTTATTAAGGTTAAACACACGAACTTTGTGAACTCACTGTAAATTTGACATACAAATGAAAAATAATAATATAAATGTCATTCTGTTTCTGAATTTTACACAATATCTTCTGAATTCCCTAGAATACAACATAAAAGTAGTAATATTATTATGAAATTCCATAATAAAGAAAATAAACAAATAAACATACCCGTATAAAATAGTACCGATGCTAATATGTTAACTTGGACCGTTCTATCGTATACCCTCAATGATCTCCTCCCCTCGGACAAATTATGATAGACATCTTATTATAGTATCAGTCTACCTAACTATGATAAGCATCTTATCAATCTACCCTAATTTGACAAGGCACATCTTGCTCGTCACTCGAGCATAGAGTATGTCATTACTCGCCTCTTCAAGCACTTTTTGTCCAATCTAGAGATTAATCCATAAGTTTCGTAATGACTATTAGGCTCGCCAATAACTCTTGTTCAGTCTCCAAGGATTTCTTCCAACAACTAACTAGGTTTTTTACCATGTCTCTGATACCACCTGTTAAGGACAACGATATCCTCATACTCCAAGTATATCCACAGTGATACGATATTGTCCGTTTTGGACATAACTCTCACGATTTTATGATTTGAGTTTCACCAAAATACCTCATACCAATTGAGATAATTATCATCATATGTCATTGATCACTTTCTTCCCTAATGAATGTAGGACTAGTTGTATATCTTACAACTCCAACAGTAACTAGATGGGTAGACACAACTAATTATGTTGTATTTGTAAATTCTGTCTAGCTTGTATTTTTTAATATTATTTTGGGTTGTATTGCTAGAGGTAACTGCATCTATTTTTTTCCCTCTATATCAAACACAACTAGACAAAACATTTTAGTTTAATTGTTTTCATTCGGAATAAAAATAAAATAAAGCTTGTTTAATAATAAAAAAAAAAAGATTCAAGCGATCATGTAGTGGTATATGTGAACAACACAATTTGATAATAATATAAGTATTTAAAAGAAGTCTCTGTCAGCATGGGTACCGTTTAAGCCATTTGATGATTTTATATCATTTTATTTATTATTTTTACATAATTCAGCTTTTCTTAAGTAAGATTCAACAATTAATAATAAATAATTTGTTAATAAAACTCAAGTTTTAAAGTTATATTTCAAGGAATTAAAAAAAGAGCATGTACTAAATAAATAAAAATTATACCTATCAAAATAAATAAATAAATACTAATATTGGTACAATTGTAGCATACAATCCAAATACATATAATTAATGATTTTCTAGAAATAAATTTATTAGAGTAGAAAAAATTATAAATACATCCAATGATATCTAATAATTTCAATTAAATTGTCAGTTTTACCTCACTACATTACATATTCTCAATTAATTCATTAAATGAAATAATATGTTAAACGATGTCAATAAAAACTTATGTAATATTAAATATTTATCTTAGTAACATATTTGGATAAGTAGATATTATCTAAAATAAATTGATTTTATTTCTGACGACTCGGTGGAATTTTGTTAATGGATAAATTGGATTTTGACGTTTGAAGCAATTTTTAATGAACAAATCCTAATATGTTAATGAAAAAATTAATTAAGGATTTTTAATATATTAATTAAAAAGTATTAAACCTGATACAAATGCGAGCGTCGAGGATTAACAAAATGCTTTAACCAGTACTTTTACATTTTTCCGGAAAAGTAAAAGAGAAAATTAATTAATCGCACGCGAGGCGCGTTACATTACAACTGAAAGACGTGTATGGTTAGAAATTAGCGCGCGTGTCGTACCTTCGAGTGGACCGAGGAAGATTCTATCAATGGTCAAAATCTGCTCAAACGGCAATTTTTAGAAAAAAATGAAATCCAACGGTGTAGATTGAAAAGGCGGCAGCCGCCCTGCAAAATCCCTGCACCAAGACCGGGGCACGATTTGGTCGGTGAGTTTCAATTTAATAGTGACGTTTTGCTATTAAAAAAACATTAAAAGTATTCTATTGTGCTTAAACTTTTATTTTCTTCTCCATAATATTTTTTAATATTTTATCTTAATTTTTAAGTTTTACATAAATATTTGTTTTAAAGTAAACTTTATAATTAAACTTCCACACAGATCACTCACAATAATTTGACATTTATTTTGTTAGAAACATCATACTACATCTCATAAATATATATATATATATATATACACACACACAACCTCCCTTAATTATGGTAGAATGGCACTAGCAAAAATTATTTATACCTATGAGAACGATAATCTCATTGGTTCATTTACTTAATGATAGATTGTTAAATTATGTATTTATATTACATATATAATTTCTAAAAAGTTGAAACTTAAAATAGTAAGATATAATTGTTGAGTATAGTACTACATTGTCAAATATCCCACCTTAAAAAGACAAGAGACCCTAACAATGAATTACTTCTCTCAATGTTAATTGGTTTTGATACGGAATCCCATTAATATTGATATTGCAATTAAGTTGACTATTTAAACTTCTCAAATACCGGATGCTTGTTTGAACGTTTTTTACTTTGATACTATATCAATATTCATGGGTTCCATCTCAAAATCAATTGGCAAAGAGAGGAGTGGCCATGTCTATTATTATAAACCATTGTTAAGTCTCATATCTTTTCAATGATCTTTAACAAAATTTAGTATTTATTATAAAAGACATGAATACCTAAATATTTTAAATTATATATATATATATTTTTGAATTGAACAATAGTGGAGTGATAAAATTTAAAACTTTACAACTTAGTAATGACTTAACTAATTGAATTACCGACCTGATCTAAAATTAAAATTTGCTTATATCAAATAAGTGTCAACCTACCCAACCTATATTTTAATTGTATAAATAAAATTAAAAAAAAAAGTAAGAAGTTTGGTGCCGTCTTTCTATAAAAGGATACACGGAGGAAGTGAATCCAAACCCCTCCCACCGGGTTTCTTCTTTCTGGGGTATTAACAGGTCGCATCGCATAGTTCCGTACTCGTCTGCATGTTTTCTTTCTTTTCTCTCTTTTTTAATCGTAAAAAGCAAAAAAAGGAAACTCTTCTCAAATTTCTTTCTAAAAATTTGTAAAAATTCTCACCTCTTAATTTTCCCGAGAAAATTGTAGTCCAAAATTTTCCCAATCCATTTTTTCAGATTTCTGATCAATCACAGCCTTTGGATCTGACTTATCCGACATGGCCGATCCATATTTTCTAGACCGACCGCCCCCTGCCGGCTACAACCAAACCAGATCACTTCCAATTTCAAACAATAACTATAACTACAATCTCGAAAATATAGCCGCCGCCGCCGGTAACAACCACGGCGGTCTCTTGCGCACGCCGCCGCGGTTCTTCTCGGCTCCGTCAATAATCCACGGCCACCAATTTCACCCCTTCATCCAACTCCAACCACCGCCTCTCCTTCCGCCGCCGATTCTACGGCCGCACCGCTCTCTCCCTTCTCAACCGGCCCGGTCCCACTCCCTCAACCCCAAGAAATCCAAATCCGCTAAGAGATCAGAGAAAAGTTTTTCGCCGGCCGTGGTTGATCGGCGGGCTGCTTCTAGAACCTCCTCGACGGCGGCGGCGGCGAAGAGGGTCGTTAAAGTCGAGGAATTGGATCTGTCGGGGTGTTTGTTTGCGCTTTCTCCGCCGCCCAGCAGCTTGCCGCTGCCCAAGTTTTGTTTGAGGCCGGCGAAGCTCAATTGCAATGTGGAGGCCGCCGGAGTCGACGACGGCGCCACCACGGCGGACGATCTCCGGCGGCTTCTGCGCCTCCGTTGAAGCCGTATTCGTGTGCATTGAATCCGCTGGGGGATTAAGGTATCAGCCAGAAAAGGGGTTTCTTCATGCGTTATTTTTTTTCTGTCATGGGGAACTCTAATCTTAAGTAATCGTATAAAATATTTCTTATTTCACGGTGTGATTTTTTTTTCCTTTTCTGTTTTCCAATCTGTATTTTTGAATTGGAAGTATGGGTAATTAAATTCGTGAACTTTGTTATTTGATAATGATTTTATTTTATCATTTAAATTATGCTTATTGTTTATTTATATATAGCTACTGTATATTTTCCCTATTATATAATCGATCCATCCACCAATAGTCCAAAGGGCTCCTCAATCTTTGAGATATCCGCATTTTAAGTTTGATTTTTATATTTTCATCTATACTATTCGACTGAAAATAGTTATTTTGTGAATTTACATTTTAAGTCATACTAGTCACATTTTTTTAGTACAAACGGGATCGAATTCACACCTTTATGGTTTGAGGTATATGTCAATAATAGTTGAGCTACGCTCACTTTAGCATACTAGTCTTATTGTAATTTTTTAAGTCGTTTTTAAATAATAACATTATTTATAAATATAAAATAGTGACAATGGTATAATATTATAATTTTTTTGGGGATATTCAAATATGAATGGAAATCATGTTCAACTAAAAAAACAATATGTAAAAAAAACAATAATAATAAATAAATACATATGAATACAAATGTTTTTTAATTATTAATAAATTATTTTTAAAATATCAACAGCATCAAAAGATATTATTAAATTATTTTTAAAATGTTAATGACATTAATAAATTATTTTTAAAATAGTCGAGGTGTCCCGACACACGGACATAAAAAAAATATATTATTAAAATAAAACAATTTACTTACTATTTCATAAAATGAAAATTTTAATGCATTTTATTTGAAATTTGAACCACACTATCGGTTGTTGAATGGGATTTCTAAAGCATAGATTTTTTTTTTAAAAAAAAGTAAATTGGACATGCGATGGATTAAAAAATCTTATAAGAAAATACCAAACAAATTAAGACTCATTTGCAATGGAGAGGGGAAAAGGGGAAAATAATGGCAACAACACGAGTATTATGTCCCTAACTCCTTATTATAAGTCCTAACTTGTAATCTCATATATCTCAATTCACATATTATTTTGTATAGCTACAATTTTTTTGTTCTTCATCGCATTTTCTTCTTATGTCTCAAGAATGAACAAACCACCACTCAACCAAAAAGCTTAAGTTGATGGGTTGGGTAAATTTAATTCATTTATATGGATTCTAACATTATGTATTATTTAATTATTGAGATTCAATATTAAATATTTTTTTTATCTTTAATAATTTTATTATTAAATAAGATCAATAATCATTGTAAATATATTTTTTTAATACTACAACTCATAACCTTCTTAATTTGAGATACATGTCAATCACCGTCGAAATTTTATATCTATTTCAGGTAACTATAAACTATGCTCAGGTCATAAATAAAGATTATAAACATGTTAAGTTATTGTTAAATATTTGATTTGTTATATTCAAGATATTAACTTGAACCGTGCCTCTTAAAAGAAAAAAAAGAAGAAGAAGACATAAATAGTGATTTTATATAATTCGCGAACAGACAAAATTTATATTATTTTTATAATTAACATTCATTTTACAAAATTATGTATAGTTCAGTATTAAAATAGTTAGTTGCCACGATATCCAACATGGACCCTAGTCCCTCTTATTGGGCCTCATAAAAAATTCAGCCCAATTCTGACCAAAACTGAGCCACTCCAATATTTCCAACTTTCAAGTATCGTGTAGTCTATATGATTCAATATTTATTAGTAGTACTGATTTGCAATTCCAATTTAGAAATAAACAATTTAAAATAAAATTAACATTTTGCAAAATACATTGCATGTTATAGCCATTATTGTCAATTTATGCTGTATTATTAGCGGCATTTTTTGGTGGCAAAAATGTGTTATTATTTGTGAAGGTGGCATTAAAGAGAAACCCCACATGCAAAAGGGTAGTTAAGGAATTTCAGTCCTCCTTTGAAAGTCCATACCATTCATTTCAAAATTAATGGTGCCTATGAACAATTCTGGCGGCAGTTCCCATAACCACAAGGCTGGATCATTCAAGAGTAAATCTTATAATTTGAACATGCTGCACTATATTTATAATGGTATTCGATTGGAAGATCGTGAGTTTAAATTCTCAGTTTCACGTGTAAGTATAACCCTCATATTCAGTCTAGATGTGTTGAAAATTTCATTCCTTCCATCTGATCAATTCTGAAAATCAGTAATTCTTTTGGGTGGATCAGAATAGACATGGCCAACTGCAAAAAAAAACCCACTTATTTCTTCACCCATTGACCCCATTAATGCACAAACTGGTTTTTCAAGCCCCTCCTCACATGAAAAAGTTGCCATTTCCTCCAAACTCCAAACTGGGTCCCAATCATAATCAAATTAGAAGTTTCCCACCACAAATTTGGGAATTAATGGAGTTGTTGGGTTGATTTCATGGAAAAATGCCATAATCAAACGGCAGTTGAGTCGCCGCATTGTTGGTTAGCTTTTACATTTATGAATCACCTTTTTTTTTTCTCTTTCATATTTTAAAAAGCCATGAAATTTGGTTCTTCTCATCCTCTTTACAACTTCGACATGGAGCTTGCCTCCAATGGGGGATTAGACCAAGATCCAGGTTCGAAAATGGAGGAACGGGAAGACAAACCAAGAAAAAACAAAAGTGTTTCTTTTTCTGGTCTGTTTGCTGCTGCTGATGCTATTGACTGTTTTCTGATGCTATTTGGAAGTTTAGGGGCGTTTGTTCATGGGGCTGCCCTTCCTGTTTTCTTTGTTCTCTTTGGTCGGATGATTGATTCTTTGGGGCATTTGTCAAGACATCCCCATAGACTGTCTTCTCGTGTTGTTGAGGTACATTCTTTACATTATATCTTCTATCAGTATATCATTTAAAAACTCTGTTTTTTATTTTTGCATTGGCAGAATGCTCTGTACTTGGTCTATTTGGGCCTCATTGTCATGGCATCAGCATGGATAGGTAATTCAAAATCCCATACGATTGGATGCTTAGAGCAGGAGTTTCTGAGTTCAAATTACTATGTCGAGCTTCATGCTGATGTTTGCAACACATGAAACGGTTGCTAGAATATATTGAAAATATTAAATTTACCTATATTCATAACTCAAGAGTTTGCCAACTGTTTAGTCTTTCGGGTTGGTCTTCCAGGTTGAGGTTGAATTAGAGAGAAAACTTTAGGTTCCGTTAAACGTTTCCGTTTCTTATTTATATTTTCTTCTTTTTTTTTTAATGAAGAAAAATGGAGTTCCATGCACCCAACACCTATGAATTCAAGAATTTTTATTTATGTTTTTGAACAAATTAGAGATGGGAACGAGAAACAAGGAATTTGTTTGCATTGTTTCAAATATTTCTACGTAATTTTGAGAATGTTTCTTAAAAATGAGAAACAAAAAACATAAGTAGCTGTTAAATGCTTTAAGTTTCTTAATAAAATTGGAAACAAAAAACGAAAACGTTATCAAATGGGCTCTTAGAAATTTGAATTGTTTTTGCTCTGCCCGGTTTGTTGTCTTATGAAGGTTTTGTTTGTAGGTGTGGCTTTCTGGATGCAAACGGGGGAGAGGCAGACGGCGAGGTTGCGAGTGAAGTATCTAAAGTCAATTTTGAAGAAAGATATAAACTTTTTCGACACAGAGGCTAGAGATTGCAACATAATATTCCACATCTCAAGTGATATGATTCTGGTTCAAGATGCAATAGGCGACAAGGTAAATTTTTGTACAGTACAGTACAACGTTAACAGAACAAAAGAGTAGGATTGTCTGAGATTTGATTGCTCCAAGTTTTAAGTAACAGAATTTTCTTGTTGCAGACAGGACATGCTTTGCGTTATTTCTCTCAGTTCATAGTGGGATTTGCCATTGGATTTACATCTGTTTGGAAACTGACTCTTCTGACTTTGGCCATTGTTCCACTGGTAGCCATTGCAGGAGGTGCATACACCATTATCATGTCCACTTTGTCTGAAAAAGGTGAAGCTTCCTATGCTCAAGCTGGAAAGACGGCAGAAGAGGTAAATAACGTTCTCATTTTACAACAAAATTTTAAATATACGTTTTAATTCTGAACTTTTTGGTTGGTTCCATTTAGAGAAACAACTGATTTGGTTGATGAACTTTCACGATGTCTATTTTATTCTCGAGACTTTTAAAAATAACCATTTTCGGTTCTTGCTTACTATGTAGTTTGAATATGGCTTACTATGTAGTTTGAATATATACTCATGTTAACATGTTAGTAACGTATATACTCTAAGTTATTAAAATAGTTAGGAACCATTTTAAGGGACCAAAATATAGTAATCTTGATAATTTATGTAAAAATAAAGTTTAGTCAGGGGATGACACAGTGGTGAGGACATGGGGCCTTGTGGTATTACCTACCATAATGTCTTGTATTCGAGTCCTGGTCACAGTGACAGTGACATTGATTCTAGGACAGAAAAAGGTATCAAAATAAGATTTAAACCAAACATATAATACACTGTTTTGCTGGCCTTTTTTCCTTCAGGTTATTGCACAGATTCGAACAGTGTATTCGTATGTAGGAGAGAGTAAAGCTGTGGATAAATACTCTGAGTCGCTTCAAAATGCACTGAAATTGGGGAAGAGCAGTGGTTTTGCAAAAGGCATTGGCGTAGGATTTACATACAGTCTCCTGTTTTGCGCCTGGGCTCTGCTTCTTTGGTACGCTGCCATACTGCTCCTCCACCACGCAACAAATGGGGGGAAAGCCTTCTCGACGATCATAAATGTCATCTTCAGTGGATTGTAAGTCCATCTTAATCCCTGACTAAAGTAAATTAAGAATTAAATTGTTACAAGTTTAGAGGCTAATTCAATATATAGGACTAAATTGTTACCAACTAAAGTTTAAAGGACTGAATCTCGTGTTCCTTTTTCCATTATCAAGTCTCTTTATCTTTCAGCGCACTCGGTCAAGCTATGCCGAATCTTGCTGCCATTGCCAAAGGCAGGGTGGCTGCAGCCAACATCTTCAATATGATTGACAAAGATTCCAACTCTTATACAAGCTCCAACAATGGAGTAACATTGTCAAATGTAGCAGGAAGAATCGAGTTTTCCGAGGTTTCCTTTGCTTATCCCTCTCGACCCCAACTGATCTTTGATAAGTTGAGCTTCTCAATAAGTGCTGGAAAGACAGTTGCAGTAGTTGGCCCTAGTGGCTCGGGAAAGAGCACCATTGTCTCCATGGTTCAGCGATTCTATGAACCCTCTTCAGGTTGGTTGAATCACGACACAACATTCTTGTTTTGGTTGTGCTATGATCCCATGTTTGTTGGCTTATTGTTTGAAGTTTACTAGGTAAAATACTGTTGGATGGACATGATCTTAGGTCTCTTGAGTTAAAATGGCTGAGAAGACAGATGGGGTTGGTTAGTCAAGAGCCTGCGTTATTTGCCACTACAATTGCTTCCAATATTCTTCTTGGTCAAGAAAATGCAGCCATGGATGAGATCATTGAAGCTGCTAAATCTGCCAATGCTCATTCCTTCATTCAAGAACTACCAGATGGTTACTCTACTCAGGTTTGTGTCTCTCTAATCTTAAACGTTAAACTCCTATCTGAACGTCATTTATTTTGAACAAAATTTAGCCCCGAGCATCGGTGTATATAGGTCGGAGAGGGAGGGACTCAACTTTCAGGTGGGCAAAAGCAGAGGATTGCAATTGCAAGAGCAGTTCTACGAAATCCAAAAATATTACTTCTAGATGAGGCAACCAGTGCTCTTGATGCAGAATCAGAACTCATTGTTCAGCAGGCTCTAGACAGAATTATGTCGAATCGAACGACAATTATTATCGCACACCGACTCTCCACAATTCAAGATGTTGATACGATCATCGTCCTGAAGAATGGCCAGGTTGTCGAGAGTGGAAACCATTCGGAATTGATGTCGAAGAGTGGTGAGTATGCAGCTTTAGTGAAGTTGCAAGTATCAGACCAAGTGAATGATTCTAGCATAGAATCTCCCTCTGGAAGTTCTAGATATTCTAGTTTTAGAGAACCTTTCAGTCTTCAGAACAATCTGCAATATTCCAAGTCATTTAGAGAAAGCGAGACACTATCAACTAACAAAGGCTTGAATCCAGCAAGTTCTTCTCCATCTCCATCTATTTGGGAACTACTGAAGTTAAATGCACCCGAGTGGCCTTATGCAGTACTCGGGTCATTAGGTGCAATTCTTGCAGGCGTTCAAGCTCCTTTGTTTGCTCTTGGCATAACTCATGTCCTATCTGCATTTTATTCTCCTCATCATTCTCAAATCAAAGAAGAAGTCCAACACATTGCGTTCGTGTTCATAGGAGTTGCTATTCTCACCATTCCTATATATTTGCTGCAACACTACTTCTACACCTTAATGGGAGAGCGGCTTACAGCCCGTGTTCGCCTACTATTATTCTCAGGTTTCTTCATCTTCCCAGCTTAAATGAAGTTGACAATTCACTTGGTCTTTTTTCTGTCTATTCTAAATAATGCTTGTCATTCTAATTGCAGCCATCCTTTCCAACGAAGTTGCTTGGTTTGATTTTGATGAGAACAACACCGGATCCTTGACATCAATATTGGCATCCGATGCAACATTAGTAAGAAGCGCTTTAGCCGACCGTATATCAACGATTGTACAGAATTTAGCGCTCACCGTGTCTGCATTCATTATTGCCTTTACATTCAGTTGGCGCCTTGCAGCTGTTGTTGTTGCTTCTTTGCCCCTTCTTATTGGAGCTTCAATAACTGAAGTAATTTTTAAACATCATTGACAATATTTGGGCTATGTTTGTTTTTTTGCTAAAGTTCAACCATTTCACATTAATTATATTGTTGAATATGCAGCAACTATTTCTCAAGGGATTTGGTGGAGACTATAGTCGAGCGTATAATCGCGCAACTGCCATAGCACGCGAAGCCATCGCCAATATACGGACAGTTGCAGCATTTGGCACGGAAGATAAGATCTCAACTCAGTTCGCCTTTGAATTAAACAAACCCAACAAGCAAGCAGTTCTGAGAGGCCATATTGCAGGCTTTGGCTATGGCATATCCCAATTCTTTGCATTCTGTTCCTATGCACTTGGCCTTTGGTATGCATCAACTCTTATCAAACACAAGGACTCAAACTTTGGAGACATCATGAAATCTTTTATGGTTTTGATAATCACATCATTAGCCATAGCAGAAACACTGGCTCTTGCACCTGATATTGTAAAGGGCTCACAAGCATTAGGATCAGTCTTCAACATTCTCTACCGAAAAACTGCCATAGATTCCGACAATCCATCCGCTGAGATGGTAACTGACATTAGAGGCGATGTCGAGTTTAGAAATGTGAGCTTTAAGTACCCTGCAAGACCAGATATCACCATTCTCGAGGATTTGAATCTAAGAGTTTCTGCAGGAAAAAGTTTAGCCGTTGTTGGCCAAAGCGGATCAGGAAAGAGCACCGTGATTGCATTGGTGATGAGATTCTACGACCCCATTTCCGGGACCATCTCAATTGACGGGCGTGATATCAGAAGCTTCAACTTGAGATCATTGAGGATGAAAATTGGGTTGGTTCAACAAGAACCAACTTTGTTTTCCACAACAATATACGAAAACATCAAGTATGGCAATCACGAGGCATCAGAAATTGAAGTGATGAAGGCAGCCAAGGCTGCAAACGCTCACGGTTTCGTCAGCAGAATGCCGAACGGCTACGAAACGCACGTTGGCGACCGAGGAGTGCAGCTATCTGGAGGACAGAAGCAGAGAGTAGCAATTGCCAGAGCAATACTTAAAGATCCTTCCATTCTTCTTCTGGATGAAGCAACAAGTGCACTGGATGCAGCCTCCGAGAAGCAAGTTCAAGAGGCTCTTGACAGGCTAATGGAAGGCCGGACGACAATTATCGTGGCGCACCGGCTGACGACGATCCGGGACGCAGACAGAATCGCCGTGCTGAAGAATGGCAGAGTTGTTGAAATCGGGAGCCATGATAGCTTGTTGAAAAATCCCAATAGTGTTTATAAACAGTTGGTGAATTTCCAACAGGAAACGACTGTGCAATCGTTTTAGTAGTTATTTTACGTGATTTTTAGTGGCTGTTGTATATGGAAATCATCTCCGATATGAGGCTGAGATAGCAAAGCAGATGTAGAGAATGAATTATTAGTAAATTCAAAGCTGTTGGAGAAATGGATTGTAATTTTCCTTTGAGCTACATGGGTTTACCTGTTGTTTTTAATTTTGGAATTTAAAATGATATAAATTTAGTTTAAATGCTATAATTATTTATTAATCATGTATATATTATTTTTATCACACCACCCACCAAAATGTAGAAAGTTTGAATCTCGAGACTCCATCCAACATATTGTTGAACAAAATAAAAAATAAAAATTAAAAAACATGATATTTAGTACAAATACTTTAATTAATTAAACTATGTCTTGACTATTAATCAATTTAAAATTAGGGCAGATTTGTTATTCTAAATTATAGATGACTTTTATAAAAAAAAAGTTTCGATTCATTAATTTTTATTAGTTTATTTATATTATACTTGGATCATAATAATAATTAAAATTTTATAAAAATGAACTACATTGGATATAAAAAATAGGACATTATAAATAAAATAAAATAAGATACTAAAAATCACACAATACGTTATTTTTATAAAAATATAAAAGTAAAATATACATATATTTTTGCCGAAATAAAAGTAAATATATTTAAAACTACATTATTTGATGGTATAATGTTTTTTCATTACATAATATAAGTGACCACCGTGTCTAATATTTCACGTTACGAAGAAGGGAGTAATTGTAAAAAATCAACGGCGCTTTGGCGCCATATTACTAATTACCGACCCACTTTAACGACTTCCATTTCGACAATTAAAGGAAAATTGGGGGCCAAATTAAATAAAAATTAGCTGTCAAAATCATTTTGCTCGCAACAGAAAGGGGGAAGGGCTCAGTCGCCGGGGAGGCTCTGTGGTCTTTCAGAGAGAGGGAGGAAGAAGATATGTTATCGGTCGGAATTGAGGATGAAGAGAAATGGCTGGCGGAGGGAATCGCCGGCATTCAACACAATGCCTTCTACATGCATCAAGCCGTGGTATCTCCAATCTTCACACTAATTCTTTTTCTGAGATTCAATTCTGTTGCAAAATCCCTATTATGCCTGTTGTTATTGACTTCTATGTTCTATCGTCGTCTCAGGATGCGAACAATCTCAGAGAAGCCCTTAAATACTCGGCTCAGATGCTCTCGGAGCTTCGAACTTCGAAGCTTTCACCACATAGATATTACGAACTCTGTAAAATTCTCTCCAATAATTAGTCATTTGTTTACAAACTGGATCGATTCTTTGAAAGGAGATTTGATTTATTCGGCCCTATATGTTGACTTAGATATGCGAGCCTTCGACGAATTGAGGATGTTGGAGATTTTTTTCAAGGACGAAAGTAGGCATGGCGTGACGGTGGTCGATCTTTATGAGCTAGTTCAACACGCCGGAAACATACTGCCAAGACTGTGAGTGAAAATCTTCTAACGTCCATAAGGCGTCGAACTTAATCTAATTGGTCGTGCACTATCGTCTACTTTATCTTTTGATTGCTTGTTTATTCTCCGGAGGAAATTGCCCTCACTATAGTGCTGATCCCGTCGCAACTGGCCAATTCGGGATAAAAATGGTTTCATTGTTTTCACCTGAATAATGCAATCCATCAGATAGTTTTGACGCTTCAGTAGATTTTTCAACTTTTTTCTTTTGGACATCCAGGTATCTCCTTTGTACGGTTGGCTCGGTCTACATGAAATCTAAGGAGGTCCCAGCGAAGGAGGTCCTCAAAGATCTCGTAGAAATGTGTCGTGGAGTTCAACATCCAATACGTGGTCTCTTTCTAAGAAACTATCTAGCCCAAGTCAGTAGAGACATATTGCTAGATATTAATTCTGAGTGCGAAGGGTAATATGATTGCATAGTTCAACCTGTTTACTTTTCCTTTTTGAAGGCAGATTTTCATTCTAGAATCTGATTACTTTGTTTTTGCATTTTTTGTTGTAATTTTTTTATGGAGAAATGTGATAGTGAAGAGCAACCAACCACTGATAATATAATTTACAGAAACTAGTTTCAAAATGTGGATGTGTATTTTTAAAACTTTGAGCTATTACTCTACATTTCACCCTTATGGAAAAGTAGACAAACAGAATTAGTTTGTATTGCAAATATGAAAGTTCAAAATATTGACATCATCCAGTGTAATTTTGGCTCCCTGCAGAGATGCGGACACTGTCATGGAGGCTGTAGAATTTGTGCTACAGAATTTTACTGAAATGAATAAACTCTGGGTGCGAATTCAGCTTCAGGTGTGTGGAACATTTGAACTTGTGTCCATCTTGTCTGAGTTTGTATGTGCATGACACCAAGTGCTTGCATGCCATGGAGGTAAAATGAACCATGAGGGCATGATTTTTGGCCATGCAGGTGTTATGGTGTGTGCAAATCATTCCTACACTTTGGCGATCCTGAGCTGAGGCCTTCAATTGCACTTTTTCATCTGCAGGGACCTGCTCGGTTGAGAGAGAAGCAGGAAAAAGAAAGAAGCGAACTTCGTGATCTTGTAATAATTCTGAATATTGTGAGAACTCTGCATACATTACTTCAAGAGAATGAGAGATTATCCATTTCTCTTGTAATTTCTGTTCCAGGTAGGAAAGAATCTCCATGTTCTGAGTCAGATAGAGGGTGTGGACCTTGAAATGTACAAGCAGGCTGTTCTACCTAGAGTCTTGGAGCAGGTTTCTAATTTTATAGTCAACATTGTTCTGTCTAAGTTGCTTTTATTATTTTCCTCCCCAATTTTTTTTCTTGACATTAAAAGTTTATAGGAATATTACAATGCTTTCTGATTACCTGCATTCTTTTTGTTGCATGAACAGGTGGTCAACTGCAAAGATGAGTTAGCTCAATACTATCTGATGGATTGCATTATACAGGTGTTTCCAGATGAATACCATTTACAGACGCTTGAGACATTGTTGGGTGTTTGCCCGCAGCTTCAGGTGGACAACTTACCTCAGTTTTTGTAGGATTTATTTTTAATCTTAATCTTATCATCATAAAAAATGTTTATTATGCTTTTTGTAACTTGTTGCCACGGATAGGTAAAAGTATTCCATTTTTTGATAAAATATATTTGTGATGCTTACAAAGAGAAGACCAGTTGATTCTATGATGACACTTTTGTTTCACTTCTACTTTGTAATATAATCTTAATTTATAGGCAACAGTTGATATCAGGATGGTTCTATCTCAATTAATGGATAGACTATCGAACTATGCTGCTTCAAATGCAGATGTAAGTTATCAACTGCTCTCTCTCTCCTTGTTCTTCTCCACATTTTTCTGAATTTTGAGATGTGCCAGGTAATACCTGAATTTCTGCATGTAGAAGCCTTTGCTAAGTTGAGCAATGCCATTGGGAAGGTAAGCCAGTTTTCTTGTAATTTAACTTCAATCATATGCATTATACATTATTCAGAGATAATATGAAGAGGACACAAGTGCAAATAAGAGAAGGGATTTAATCATATCAATCTCATTGATGATCTAAATGACATAAATGTAAAAATAGCCCAAAAAAGTAGAAAAATCATCAGTTGGATCCAACACTTGACAAACTTGCAACTGAGAGTACGGTTGAATTTTTCTCTCTCCCAAATAATAAGATACAATAATTTATTACAAGTATTATCTGAAGTTTTTGATTCATGCTTCTGCTTACATGCTGTCTTCAACATGTCACATGCATATGTTCTTTATGTGGTAACTGCGAAGTTTTTTGGCATGACCAGATTTTGTTTCTTGATAGGTAATAGAAGCACAGGTTGACATGCCTATTGTTGGGGCTATAACATTGTACGTCTCCCTTCTGACATTTACCCTTCGTGTTCATCCAGACCGGCTTGATTACGTGGACCAAATATTGGTAATCTCATAGCCTTGTCTTTGATGCTCATAACACCCCTAAAAGTATTTTTAAGATGGTAGGCACACTCTTAGGTGACGAGCCTCTGTAGACCCCTTGGCATGAGGTACAGAAGAGACAATTGCCTTGGGTGACAATGTCATTTAAGAAGGAAATACATAGATTACACAGTAGGCTTGAATATACACTCTTGATTGGCAATGTCGATAATGTAGTATCAGAACATCAGTAATCATATGTCAACCGAATCAAAATCTTAGGGTTTGAAGGAAAAAAGAAATCTTAAATTACAGTAATTTGAAATCTCCTCTTATATCAGGAAGTTTAAAGAATTTAGAAATACAAATAGGAGATATTTTGATTAACTTTATTAGAAGGATAATATTTATTTTCCAAATTTGAGGGGAAAAAACTATAATTGGATGAATTTTTCCTTTAAAAGTTCCCTATTTTATATTATAATAAATGAAATAAATAAAGGAAAAATAATTGCTGCCCGTTTAAATAAGAAAAAAATTGAGAAGTTTGGAGCAAGCTAGGTGGTTCCATAGGTGCCGTTGAAGTCACAGGAAGACGAGAACATTGATCTTTGCTGCTGCCAAGGATGCAATGAGAAAATTTGCTAAATAAGACTGCTGCTGAAGTAGCTAGGCTTTTTGCTGATTTTTTCCCCTAATTTTTAAGTGCTAAAATACTTATATGCTTTTCTTGCATGACAAATAAGTGGGGATATTTTAGTCAAAAGATTGAAAAACCGAGAAATGGTCAGACTGTCATCTTTGGAGATGCTTTAATCGATATGAATGTGCATGGTTGCCGGCAAGCCAACCTTGCTTGTCATGACTATAACAGATGGCTATAATGCTTTTCATGTAGGGATTCTAATTCTGGACATTTTATAAGGCACGTTCCTATCTTCATTTCAATTTTTTTTTGTTGCTTTTGGACTTTTCAAAGGGAGCATGCGTTAAGAACCTCTCCAGCCAACCAAAGCTTGAAGATACTAGAGCAACAAAACAAATAGTCATGCTTCTCAGTGCTCCATTAGAGAAATATAATGATATCGTGACAGCTCTTACACTCTCAAATTATCCTCGTGTCATGGACCACCTGGACAATGCCACAAACAAAGTTATGGCCATGGTCATCATTCAAAGTATAATGAAAAATAACTCTTGCATTTCCACTGCTGATAAGGTTTGGTTCGCTTCTTT